AATGTTGAAAAAGAAAACCAAAGCAGGAGGCATCACAGTCCCCGAGTTTAGCCTCTATTACAAAGCTGTAATCATAGAGACAGTATGATACTGACACAAAAACAGACACATAGACCAATGGAATAGAATAGAGAACCCAGAATTATACCCAAAATGTATGGCCAACTAATCTTTGACAAAGAAGGAAAGAGTATCCAATGGAAAACAGACAGTCTCTTTAGCAAATGGTGCTGGGAGAACTGGACAGCAACATGCAGAAAAATCAACTTGGACCACTTTCTTATACCATACACAAAAATAAACTCAAAATGGATGAGAGGCCTAAATGTGAGACAGAAACCATCAAAACCATAGAGGCGAATAAAGGCAACAAGCTCTTTGCCATCAGCCGCAGCAACTTCTTACCCAACTTGTCTCCGAAGGCAAGGGAAATAAAAGCAAAAATGAACTATTGGGACCTCAAGATAAAAAGCTTCTGCCTGCAAATGAAACAATCAACAAATCTAAAGGCAACCAGTAGAATGGGAGAAGACATCTACAATAGACATATTGGATAAAGGGTTAGTATCCAAAATCTATAACTTACTAAACTCCACACCTGAAAAAAAAAAATAATCCAGAGACAAATGGACAGAAGACATGAATAGACACTTTTCCAAAGAAGACATCGAGATGGCCAACAGACACAAGAAAAGATGGTCAAAGTCACTCATCATCAGGGAAATACAAATCAAAACCTCACTGAGATACCACCTCACAGCAGTCAGAGTGGCTAAATATAAAAACTGAGGAAACAACAGATGTTGGAGGATGTGGAGATACGGGAACCCTCTTGCACCACTGGTGGGAATGCAAACTGTTGCGGCTGCTCTGGAAGGCAGTGTGGAGTTTCATCAAAAATTAAAAATAAAATTACCCTATGACCCAGCAATAACACTACTAGAAATTTATCCAAAAGATACAGGAGTGATGATTTACAGGGGCACATCTATCCCAATGTTTATAAAAGCACTTTAAACAATAGCCAAATTATGGAAAAAACTCAAATGTCTATCAACTGATGAATGGATAAAGAAGACATAGTTTATATATGCAATGGAATAGCATTTGGCAATGAGAAAGAATGAAATCTTGCCAGTTGCAACAACATGGATGGAATTTATGCTAAGTGAATAAGTCAGTCAGAGGAAGACAGATATATGTTTTCACTCATATGTGGAATTTGAGAAACTTAACTGAAAATCAATGGGGGGAGGGAAGGAGAAAAAACAGTGTCAGAGAGAGAGAGATAAACCATAAGAGACTCTTAAATACAAAGAACAAACTGTGGGTTAATGGGAGGTGCAGGGAAGGGGGGGAAATGGGTGATGGGCATTGAGGAGGGCACTGGGTGTTGTATTAAGCGATGAATCATGGGAATCTACTCCTGAAACCAAGAGCACACTGTATACACTGTAAGTTAGCTAACTTGATAATAAATTACATTTAAAAAACACAAAAACTGACAGGTAGCCAAAACCATCTTGAGAAAGAGCAAAATTAGAAAATCACACCACCCGATTTACAAACTTTTATGGCTACATTAATCCAATCACTAGATATTGACTTCAAGAAAGAGAAATGGGTCCGGTCCATGAGGCAGAACAGATAATCTAAATATATACCCACACATATACAATTAATCATTTTTCACAAAAATGCTAAGAGTCTTCAACAGAAGAAAGTCTTTCAACAAAGTATCCTGGGGGGAAAGTACAACTACCTGTAACATAAAAGAAATAAACCATGATTCATACATCATATCATACACAAAAATCAAAGACTCGGTCATAAAACCTAACAATATAAATCATTCAGAAGGGGACCTAAAAGTGCATCTGTCTCAATTTAGGAGATGCTAACATTTCTTAGACAGGAAACAAAAAAAGTCCTAACAGGAAAAGAAAATTGAAAAACTATATTTTATCAAAAGACATTATGTTTAATTTACCATCTCTGTTCATTGAATAGTACTTCCTAGCAGCAGTAAAGTTTGTAACCTGAGAAGAAGTATATTCCCGTGGGCCAAATTGATGAAGAATCAATTATTCAAAACTTTCATTGTATCTTTAGGATTGTTTCTTTACATTATAGGCAACTCCCAAAGAAGAACAGGTGCCCAGTTAGCACCAGTACTTACACCCAGTTACAGAATCCTGCAGCTATCAGGAGAGGTTCAGTGTGATCCACTTGCCCATATCAACTAATTTCACCTACAGCTGTTATTAAGCCAAACCTATCTTGTAAATATTGGATACATTTTCTTGTTACTATCATTTGCCTTTGTTGAATTCAAGGGGAATGTGTCCTCTCTAGCTCATGGGGCCTGACCTGAGCTTCCGCAGGCATCTCCTCTCAGGCCCAGGTATATGGAGAAAGCTATGTCAACATTTCAATCCTTTTCTTAGCCAACGTTTTTGTTTGTTTCATATCCTCACAATTTTAATTCCTCTACTAAATTCACAAAGACATTTCCTTATCTGAGTGCATGATACACGTAGCTGTTTTTTTAGTTGCCTGGAACCCATTTGCCTGACAATACATGCAACTCTTTGTTACAGCCCAACAGACTATAATATCTAAATGCTCCTCTAGAACAGGAGCCTAACACTTTGTCCACTGCTAAATGAAGAGCTTTGAATTCCACTCACTAGGCCAACTTAACCCTGCTCTCTTTCATCAGGGTTGTGGTATGAACACAGCCTGCTGAAAACTGACTTCCAGGGGCATCTGGGTAACTCAGTTGGTTATGCATCCAGCTCTTAATTTCAGCTCAGGTCATGATCTCACCATTCATGAGTTCAAGCCCCACATCAGGCTCTGTGCTGTCAGAACAGAGCTTGCTTGGGACTCTCTCTCTCTCTCTCTCTCTCTCTCTCTCTCTCTCAAATAAATATATAAACTTAAACAATTTTTAAAAATCAACAACCAACTGACTTCCAAAGAGCAACATAGGCCTCAACTCAACTCAAGAATTTCTATGGGTAGTCCTTCGATCCTTCATGCCCAGGACCACTCAGGAATGAGGTCAGGGATGTCCCTGCAATTCTATTTTCTGCAAACAAGTAGCAACACAGCCTGTTTGTTTTGTGTGGTACTTTCCCTGAACTTCTTCTGCTAGAATGCTCCTTAAAATAAACTGCCACTCTATGAGTGAACTCTCCCGAGCTGCCAATACATATTCGACTGTATGTATGGCATCATCCAGGACACAACAGAAAGCCCAAGGTATTTGTCTCCTCAGAATCACCTGATATTCATCAGTGCGAGGGCTTGTTTTATCAAACACCACTGACAAGCTAGCAACCATTTTTCAAATAGTCTGGGAGAAGGATCTATTCCTTCAAGTAGTTTTCAAATCCAAAACCCAAGACAACGTTGCAAGAAGTCCTGCTTGGTTTGAGCCAAAAATTCCAGATTCCAGCATATAGGTGATGGCAGAAACTTCTATCATATAGTCACATCCTATGGGCTCATAGGAATTACCTGGAGCCAATTCTCAGTCAATCTACCAACAGTTTGGGCTCAGGTCTGCTGAAATTCACATATCTTTCTGCTGACCTTGTGAGAAGAGGCTAACAGGACCGTTATGTGAGGAGCATGATTTTGCCATAACCAGCCTAGCCCTAATAGTCTTTGACCTTCTTACTTATTAGCATGATCTGAAAAATATGACAACATGTTGCAGAGTTGGGCAATATCCTGTTGCTCCAACTGACACAATTCACAGGAATTTCACAGATGCGACATGGCCTGGAATATTAGCTAGCCATTTCAATTACCCTCCAGTTCTTCTATGGATACTAAAGGTTTTCATTCTTTGTAGTTTATTCCTCTGAGGAAGGAATACTCACAGTATGTGCTAATTTTCCCCTAATGCTCATTAACTCCAGACCTTACCTAACTAAATTGTGACAATTTCTAATATATTCAGATATCCCTATGGATATATGGTAAACATACACTGAGCTCTACTCTATGAAAATCCTGTAGTGCAAGGGAGACTCAAACTACTGTGGAAAAGAAGGTGTTGGCTAACTCTATTAAGGCCTACCCATTCCACTTGGCCTATTGCACCTCCCAAATAGCCTTGATCACACCAAATCCTGCTCAAACAATCCGAATACACCTATTTAATCTTCAACAGTCTCCTGTACATCTGATCCACTGGCATTCCAGAATCGTTTTTTATTTTTTATTTTTTTTTTCAGAATCGTTTTTTAAAAATCAAAAAGATTTAGTTCAAATCAAATTCTAAACACCATCATTTCCTTATCAGAATATTGACATGTTGTTCTTCTTGAATTGAGCACTGCTTAGTGTACTGCTGGTAAGAACTAGGACAAGTTTAAAGAATCCCATTTAGTAAGTGTGGGAAAACTGGGCAGATGCCCACAGTTGAAACGATGAAGACAACTTGACTCATTCATGTGTAACATCCATCCTGATTGTGCATTCAGGTATTGAAGCCTGGCAGCCAAAAACCACCAGGAGCAGCTGTAGCTGAGAAGTTTGGGGTCTTTGTCACTGCTGTGGGAGAGAGCATACACCAAGGGGAATTGCAGAGAGGTGTCTCAGTTCAAGGGTGTTAGAAAAGAGTTATATAAGATTTGGGCTTGTATTAGGTGGTTTGGAGGATGTTGTGGAGAAGCAGGCCTCTGCCCTGGTTTGGATGCTGTCAAGGGGCATGAGTATGCTATGATTGGTTATCTTAAGAAATCTTTTCTGGGGCGCCTGGGTGGCGCAGTCGGTTAAGCGTCCGACTTCAGCCAGGTCACGATCTCGCGGTCCGTGAGTTCGAGCCCTGCGTCAGGCTCTGGGCTGATGGTTTGGAGCCTGGAGCCTGTTTCCGATTCTGTGTCTCCCTCTCTCTCTGCCCCTCCCCCGTTCATGCTCTGTCTCTCTCTGTCCCTAAAATAAAATAAAATAAAATAAAATAAAATAAAATAAAGAAATCTTTTCTATAAGGAGAAGAGAAAAATAAGGCAAAGCTGTGATAGGTAATAGAGCAGTAGTCACACATTAACTGGGAAAAAGGGATATGTGCGATTGTGGGCTTGCCACACTAACATTGCTTTTGTCTGTATTGAAACATACCTGGGAAGTGATCTGTTTTTGACAGAAAGAGAGACAGAGGGAGAGAGCAGGGGAGGGGCAGAGAGAAAAGGAGAGAAAGAATCTCAAGCAGGCTCTACCATTATTGCTGAGTGGTGTGAGTTCTATCTTATGACCCTGAGACCATGAACTGCACCAAAATCAAGAGTCAGACACTTAACCAACTGAGCCATCCAGGTGCCCCACTATGAAGTGATCTTGATTTTTGATTCCTTTCATCACAGTCACTGAGTGCCCTCCTCTGCTGTTGGACTTCTATGACTTTTTATGTCCAAAAGGAGTACACCGTGTCCTGGCTCTCAGCTCAGGTGAGCCCTTAATAACTCCATAACTCCCAACCCATTGCCACTAGGCCAACTCCAACATGGCAGGGCTGCTTTCCTCCTACTCACCTGCTATATCATTGCAGATAAGAGAAAAATTATGACTCAGTTAATAGTAGAGATTGATGGAACCCAGAATGGACACTGGTGCCTAGTAAATGTTGATTAGTGCATTCATGTTACAGAAACCTCTAGTCTCTACTGATGCACCCAAGAAGAGGGCCTTATGTGTAAAAATTGGGTAGACATACACAAAGTCCATTTCACAATGACACAGGAAGGACTAAATAAAATCTGTCACTAAGGACTGATGAAAGCATGGGACAACCACTTCCCAACATCTTAAAAATATACTATTTTTGATGTTGCTCAGTGTTAATTTTATTTGAAAACAAACAAACTGATTAGAGATAGGAGAGACATGATAGGCATGGTACGTGGTTGGAGTAAATCAAACGAAAGGACATTCTGGCTGAGCCCAGCAGGATCACATGCAGGACATCCAGGAGACTTCCATCTCACAATAGTAACTTTAAAAGTTTCCCAATCAAACCCGTAACATCTGCAAAAGAATAAAATATATAGTCAAGCAGGTTTCAAAAAGGATGAAGAATGTGGCTTCATTTCGGGAATCTGAAAGGAGACCAACAAATGTCAAATGGCACTGAATTCCATGGAGTCAAATGGCCATGAGATGTTCATCCCCCAAAAATGGGGTTTGCAAGGCTGGTTGGGAGCCCAGATAAGCTGGAAGTCTAGAGAGCCCAGGAAGTAGGTCCACAGGTGCTAGTTCTCTCTCTATGACTCAACAGAGCAACCCTACCACCTTCTCACCAGGGATATATACTCATTTTCTCCTCCATGCACTGCCCACTACTCACCCTTGTGCAAGGTGCCAAGCAATGGCCCCGACACTGAAAGACTATAAAGCAATATTTGAAAAAGTTTCCTCAACACATTGATTATTTAAGCACACATGCAACCTCTCCCATATGTTCAGGGGAAAGTCTTTCCTTGGAAATTTCCATTTCTTCATCTTTATAGTGTTTCCTTGGTAGAATGACTCATATTTAAATTACATTTCTAGGGGCGCCTGGGTGCCGCAGTCGGTTAAGCGTCCGAATTCAGCCAGGTCACGATCTCGCGGTCCGTGAGTTCGAGCCCCGCGTCAGGCTCTGGGCTGATGGCTCGGAGCCTGGAGCCTGTTTCCGATTCTGTGTCTCCCTCTCTCTCTGCCCCTCCCCCGTTCATGCTCTGTCTCTCTCGTCCCAAAAATAAATAAAAAACGTTGAAAAAAAATTAAAAAAAAATAAATTACATTTCTATGTGAATTTTTTATATTATTTTATATTTTTTTTCATTTTTTTAAACGTTTATTTATTTTTGAGACAGAGAGAGACAGAGCATGAACAGGGGAGGGGCAGAGAGAGAGGGAGACACAGAATCCGAAGCAGGCTCCAGGCTCTGAGCTGTCAGCCCAGAGCTCGACGCGGGGCTCGAACTCACGGACCGTGAGATCATGACCTGAGCCGAAGTCGGACGCTTAACCGACCGAGCCACCCAGGCGCCCCAATGTGAATTTTTTTTAATTTAGTGCTTGGGCACCTGGCTGACTCAGTTGGTTAAGCATCTGGAATTGGCTCAGGTCATGATCTCATGGTTCATGCGTTCATCCCCCACAATGGGCTCTCTACTGACAGCTCAGAGCTTGGAGCCTGCTTTGGATTCTGTGACTACTTCTCTCTCTATCCCTCCCCCACTAGCTCTCTCTCTCTCTCAGAAAAATAAACATTTTAAAAAATTGATGAAAAAAAAACTGTTTGTTTGTTTGTTTGTTTGTTTGTTTTGAGAGCAAAGGAGAGTGCAAGCAAGCAGGATTGAGGCAGAGAGAGAGAATTCATGAGACTGTGACCTGAGCCAAAACCAAGAGTCCATCGCTTGACACAACAATAAGCCACCCAGGCACCCTGTATCTGAGTTTTATACCACAATACCTTGCATATGTTCACAGTCAATAAATCTCATAATCGATGATACATGAAAGTAGAAGGAGGGGAAAGATGAATCAGGAATAGGAAGACTGTACTATCTTGGTCCTCAATGGCTTTCCAAATTCCCAGGAATACCCTGAATAATGCTCAAAAGTGTCTGCTTCAAGGAGGCCTCATTTTAAAGCTGTTGTCTACGTTTAGAAAAGTCTTTCAAAGAAAAAAACACTGGGACACCTGGGTGGCTCCGAGCTTAGGTGTTCAACTTCAGCTCAGGTCATGATCGTGAATTTGAGCCCTACATCGGGCTCTGCACTGAAAGTATGGAGTCTGCTGGGATTCGCAATCTCTCTCTCTCTCTTTCTCTCTCTCTCTCAGTCTCCCCCTCCACCTCCTCCAACACTTCCATTCTCTCTTTCTCTCTCTGTCAAATACAAAAACTTCATAAAAACTTAAAAATAAAAGAAACAAACACTTTTCTATAAAAAATACACATAAACAGTCACCTGGCCCCCTCCCTATCTTTCTAATAATATTTCTACTAACTACAAAATTCCCTATTAAAGCCAACATGTCAGGAACATGCAGGTAATATTAGTAAACAAGAAGCTGCAACCTCAGGGCTCCTCTGAGATCCATCTGCTGACTTGATTTGTAAAGCCAGAAATAATTAGAGAATGATGGAAACAGAGCTCTCTCATGGCTTCTCCTTCCTGACCACAAAATAGAATCTGCTGGGATCATAGGGAACCAAGGAATCAAGAGCCCCGAAAAGAAAGCACAGAGATGAGTGGCTTACCCTTTGGAGTGGTGGCAGGAGCAGCAGTGGTGGCAGCTGCAGTGGTGGCGGCAGCTGTGGTGGCGGCAGCTGTGGTGGCAGCAGCTGAAATTAGAAGAAAAAGATCCAGGGGCTCTTGGTGGCTTAGTGGTTTAATTTTCTCTTGATTTTGTCTCAGGTCATGATCTCAAGATTCATGAATTCGAGACACTTGAGCTCTGCACTCACAGTGCAGAGCCTCATTGGGATTCTCTCTCCTTCTCTCTCTTCCCCTCCCCTGCTGGTGCTTCCTCTCTCTCTCTCTCTCCCACTCTCTCTAAGTAAATAAACTTAAAAGAAAACTTAAAAAGACAGAAAAGATCCAGCTGAGACTTTTCACTCTTCTCCAGGAATGGAATTTGTCCCACTTGAGCTTGGGGGTACATTCTTCATTCTGAATTCAGTTCTGCAATTGTCAATAGTTTGTCCTCTCTTTCGCCTGGCTACCCACTTTTCCCAGACTCATTCTTCCTAGCCCTTCCCTTGATGGGACAGAAAGAATTTGGGGTTTCCTTACAAGGACTGTAAGACTAAGAGACAAGCAAATACATCCACCTAGTGGTGAACACAAAATACCAAATCCATATGTGTTCTTATTCACAGGGATCATGGCTCACAGGCAAAAGGAAATCCCTAGTGAGATGACTTTATGGTTCCCTCCCATGGGATAACTTGATCTGATCAGTTTTCACTGCATCATGAATCAGTGTGAGTAGCAGAATAAACTATATAGGAGAACAACACAAGGAGAAGATCATGTATCGGCGGAAAAAAAAAGAAGTTCATGCATCTCAGATTTGTACAATAGTATCTCCTTTCTTTGAATGAAGTCCAATCTCTTCTCTCAAGTTCTGGCCTTAAAGAGGATTATATTTGTCTCACCTGTTCTTCAAGTTGGACTCCGCCTATTCTAGAAGTAACTAGGAGAGCCACATTAGACATAAAGGGAGACAAGGGTACTATTCTGACTGCATTAAACATGAGCAAATGCCCCCCAAACACCCCAGTTCAAAGTAAATGTGACAATTTTGGTGACAATTATCACTCTCCACACCATACACCAGAGCTTCTGACAAATCGCCAGGGTCAGACCCCACACTTGTGGGTTACACCTACCCCAGCAAGTAGATAGCTCAGTCTCAACACTCACACTGCAGCGATAATGTCTCAGTCCTCAATCACTTGAGATGATATTTTTTCAGCTGGCCCTGGCTTTGCAGGTAGGATGTATGGCACAGTGTATGAGGTCTGACCATAGTCTATGCCCTTATTACCAAAGAAAACAAGTCCTTCCCCAACTGAGAAGGGCAAAAAGGGAAGTCGTCCCAATATACGCATGAGTACAACACACACGGCATAGGATGTAGAGGACACTTGTGAGAAGCCCAAGAAATGCGCTTGGGGCTTTTTTACACAACCTTCAGTTTCACATAAGAAAAAAAAATGCAGATCAGCATGGGACTAAGGCATGCGTTACAAAGAACAAAGCATAAGGCCATTCATCAACTTCACCCTATATTCCTCAATCTCCATTCCACACTCCCATGCAGGCCTACTGCTGTCATTTCTATATCACCTTCAGGAATTAATTACATTGTCTTTCTTCATCCTGAAACTGATTAATCCCACTTCTACACACTGACCCTATATTCACCCCCTCAAATTATGGTCATCAAGAAGACTTTACATGCAACTCCCCCAAATTCCCACACCACAAATTCAGACCATAATCCCTTGTCTTTTCTCCTAGACAACACTTACAGTTTGCATTGGTCCTTTCCAGAGACTATATTCTCTAAAAATGTATAAGAAATCAGCAGATTTTCTATGGTCACAATGAACTTTACAAGCAAGAATGTGGCTTTCCCAAGCAGCTGCTTTGCATTCTGTCCTCCATGGCCGCGTGACACGAGACAGAGATGGAAAACAGTCATGGCAGGAAAGACATGAAGTACAAACACAGACTTACCAGTAGAGCTATCACTTGCAGCGCCAGTTGTCTCTACAAGAGAAAAAGAAAAATAGGCATAAATTAAACACCAGCTTAGGGCATAGAGGGAAGAGAAATTATAGACAACATTGCAGGCTGTCATAACTGAAGAACCTTGGGCTTTTCTACTTGTGCTCAGGGCAAAAACATACACACATAATATAAAACCAACAAAACCCCACAAAAGACATAATACGTCACCATTTTCTGCTCTCCTGAAATAAAACTCTGATTGCATTCTTTTCTTTATTTTTTTATTGATTACATTCTTGAACATATTTTAACGACACTCACAATGACGTTGAACACCAAGGTTAAAACTGAGCAAAGACCTGACTGGATTGCCAAAGCCTAAAGGGAGAGTCCACTCTATCTTGAGGGGTCAGTCAAAATGGGGATGGAACAGGGCAGTGGGGTGGAGGACGTGGGGGCCACCATTCTAAGCTCCTCCAAACCCACACCCACACAGAGCGTATACGTTGATGGACTCTTGCCCCAGACCTTCTTTTCAGATAAGAATCTTTACTTACGGCCTGAAACCAGGAAGGTGGAAACGGCCACCAGTACCAGCAACGCCAAGAGCTTCATGTTGGTGAATTGATTAGCAGGGAGCACAGATAAGAAAGCGTGGAGCTCAGGAGAAGGTAGGACGCTGCCTTCAGCATTCCACATCCTGACCTTATATAGGCAGAGGGCACCAATCAGGAACTGCCAGATCAGAATCCAGGCTAGTTAATGCCAGGCAATGTTGGTACTGAGAGAAACCACTAGAGAGTCAACAGCACAGCCAGAGGCCCTCTGAAAAGATCACTTTAGTCCCTTGATTATGACACAGGTTTCAGGTCAAGACTTTTCAATAGGAAACATTTTCCAGAAAACAACTTTGTTTCCAGGCTTCCTCTCAACTAAGAGGATCAAATGGCACCACGATTACCCGTTCTGCTGACAAGCCAGAGGAACCCAACACCTAGCCTTGGGGGGATCACTCACCCTGCAGTGCCCCTTTCAGACACGTTAGAAGATGGACACCTACAGCTTGCTCAGCCCTAGGATTCCTATGGCAGCCTGTTCTCAGATCCATCCACCTAGGTCAGGCTGTACATTCCTCCACAGATGGCCTGCCTCGTGTACATGTAGATACTGTCATCTGACACTCACGCACAGTGAAGCAACACTGATATGATCTCTCTGGATTGAAGCATTTCTTGTGGAAAAATCCAAAGTCAAAGAGAGAGACAATAGAAAATGAAACTAACGTTGCTTAATTAATGCAGCCATTGAATCGATGCATTCATCCAACAAATATTTAGTGAGGGCTACGCAATAGAGAAACAGCAATGAACAAAGTGCTTAAAAATCCCATGGGATACATGCAACTGTGGGAGTTCATGCATTAAAAAGTGAACAGTAAGGAAGGAAGAAATGGAAGGAAGTAGGGAAAGAGAAAGTTGGGGAAGAAGGAAGGGAGGAGAAAGGAAGAAAGGGATTAGGAAGGGAGGGAAGAAGGAGGAAAAACACAGTGTATTGTTTATAAAAGGATAAGGCCTAATATGTAATAATACAGGAGAGAGAAAGGAAAGTATCTTTGGAGACAGGAAGCAAGGTTACAATTTCAGATGAGGTAGTCATAACAGGAATGAAGGGAAAGGTGATATGTGAACAAAGACTTGAAGATGCTGAGGAATCAATCTGATTACATCTTGGAAAGTGTGTTGCCAGGAAAGGAAACAGTGGGTGCAAACCCATTATCCATGCGGGTCTCTCGGCAGCTGTTGAGTTGGGCCCAACACTGCACCAAGACACAACCAACTATTTGCCCTAGTCACACACCCCAGCTACTAAGTCAATACAGCAATGAATCCAATACTCCATATTCACATCACAACCAAGTGTGATTCCGATCTCCAAGGAGAGGTACTGAACATGTCTTGGAAAACCTGGAAAGAATGAGAAATCACTACCTTCTAAAGGTTCCATTGCAGTTAAACGGTTCTAAGGCTCTGGGCTGATGGCTCAGAGCCTGGAGCCTGTTTCCGATTCTGTGTCTCCCTCTCTCTCTGCCCCTCCCCCGCTCACACTCTGTCTCTCTGTCTCTCAAAAATAAATAAACATTAAAAAAAAAAATTAAAAAAAAAAAACGGTTCTAGTACTTTGAAGGCTGTTCTTGTTCATACAAAGGATGCTTACTGTGACATACCCTCAGTGAGAGAGTCTCATTCATATGGAACAGTATTGAACATCTATTTCCACTTTCCTATTGAAATACACTTGAGGGGCGCCTGGGTGGCGCAGTCGGTCAAGCGTCTGACTTCAGCCAGGTCAAGCGTCCGACTTCAGCCAGGTCACGAAATCGCGGTCCGTGAGTTCGAGCCCCGCGTCAGGCTCTGGGCTGATGGCTCAGAGCCTGGAGCCTGTTTCCGATTCTGTGTCTCCCTCTCTCTCTGCCCCTCCCCCATTCATGCTCTGTCTCTCTCTGTCCCAAAAATAAATAAATGTTGAAAAAAAAAATTTAAAAAAAAAAAAGAAATACACTTGATATTCAACCCTGTGCAAATTTAAGGTGTACACCATGTAAATTGGATACATTTGTATGTTGTAATATGATTGCCTTGTACCATTAATTAACACCTCTATCATGTTACAGAATTATCATTTCTTTTTAGAGGTTGGAGTCATTAAGTTCTATTCTCTTAGCAAGTCTGATGACTATAACAATATTGTTGTTTATCTTGCGTCTATCGCTATACTGTGCATTAGCTCTCTAGGGCTTATAAATCATCAGGGGATGCAAACCACAACCACAATGAGATATCACCTCACACCTGTTAGAATGGCAAACATCAAAAAGACAAGACATAAGAAGTGCTGGCAAGCTTCTAGAGAAAAGAGAACCACAGTGCTCTTTTGGTGGGAGTATTTGTTATGCTTATTTTCACTTCCTGATTATAGTACATTTGAGCACGTGCATACATTTGTAGACCACTTGAATTCCCTCTTCCAGGATTTGCCTACTCGACTCGTTTAATTGAGTGTGTCTCATGTTCTTATCACTTAAGGACTTATACAAGATGAGAAATATTAACATGTTTACCTTTTCTAAAACCACGAAGATTTCCAAAATAACACAGATGTTTTAGTTTATTCACAGTGTGCTTTTAGATGGTTTATTCAAGAAGACCTATCATCTTGATTATAATGTTTATATTAAATATTTGAGAAAGATGAAATGGGGTCATCTTAAATTTGTGACACCTTCGTACTCATGCATACAGAGATCACAGCTCTCTAATCCCTAGATTTTCCAATGATCACAAACCTGACCCCAGTCACCAGGGTATACTCTTCTGTGAAGCATATTTGAAAGGGAGACAGGCCCTGAGATGAAACCAGAAAAGCAGCGTCAGCCTGAAGACAGGCCCTAGAGAGAAGCATCAAGGACTCAGTCGAAAACCAGACCCCTCACCCTTCAAAGTACACCACTCAGAAGGTGGAAGTCTCTGTAGCAGTCATGGGCTGCAACGGGCAAGGACACCTAACTGAGTCTCAACAAAACAAGATTAACAAGGCACAGACTGATGAAGGCTGAGGGAAGTCCCAGGGTGATGGGAGGATTTGGTATTAGGACCAAAGGGAAGATCTTTCCCTGTTCTGCTTCAAGGAGCTGAGAGATACAAAGAGTGCACAGTGACTCTCCAGCATTAGAAATCTGAAACTCCGAAATCTACTCTTTTTCAATACATGTCACTGCTATCATACGTTCTTACCATTCAGTCTCAACTTCAATACCACCTCTTCAGGGAAGTGTCTGATGGCTTCTAAACTCAAGTACCCCTCAACTTACAACCAGATAACTTGATTCTATTCCCATCATAATATTTAGGGCTACCTGATATTTTCTTGACTCTTTGTTTCTTTGCTCTTCGTTTGTCTGGTTTTCTGCCTCCTCTGTCAATAAATATGATCTAACGGAACAAAAGGTTACTTTGTTCAACAATATTTCATAGGACTCCCCAGAGTGCCAAGCAGTTAGTAAGCTCCTGAGAAATGTGAGTTAAGAATGCATTAATGAATGAAATAGAAAGTCATAAAATAAGCATAAAGCAAACAGAGAGGGCTTTTCTTCACATATTCGGGAGGGATATACTCTGAAAAGCAGGACAGTGGATATGGATGACATCTTGGAAAGCAGAAGCTCAAGAAATGCCTAGAGTTATGATCTAAAATAGACAAGGAAGAGTTAGGCAGGCAGGAATCCCATAAGCAAAATTAACCACGACAGAATTCCAATGGTGTTTAGCTACAAATGTACTTTGTTGCCTCCAATCTCTTTACTCAAATAAATCTGGATATACGCAGAGTTACACAAAAAACAACATGCACATTTCGGGGAAAATATGACTTCCACACATACAGGTGAAGCCTACACCTTACTAAGCTGTACCTCAACACCTCACAGGTACTTCCTGTAATGAAAATCCAGGAAAGTGTTCTCCAGAACTTCCATGTGTCTTTGTTCATTATTTTGCTAACAGGAAAGATCTCTGCTAAGCACGAATTCTCCCCATCATTGGCTTTTCCTAATTAACGAAAGGAACTTCCACATCTTCCCCTATTTCTCCTTCATTTCCCATTCCAGGATCAGCCCACTTACTGCTTTATATCAGTTCCTACCATTGTCCCATGGTCCTCCCTCCAAGTCTGAATGGCTGCTCCATGCTGGAAAGCCCAGGGCAAACCACTGAATGTTCCCCTATGAAGCTAAATTCAGAGGAGTGATAGTTCCCAAATTTATCACTTTATTTTTATTTCTCTTCTAGGAATACTTCATTGTCACTCCTGTCTTTCTTGCTTTTTCCACTCTTTCCGTTTTCTGAAGCTCTTCCCATTTCTGTCTACACTTCTTTCTCATCCGAATGTCTTTGTCATCTTCCAGTAATCTGTAGCTTCCATCATCCTTTGACCCCATCCAAACTTCAGTACTAAATTGCCTTTATTTTAGTTAAATGTCACTGGCTGTGCAACATTCCAGGCATCCAAAATGCCCTTCCTGGAAATCTGAAAACGATGACACTTTGAGAGTGTCACCCCTGATATCCTAGGGAAATACGTTTCTGAAGACAGTGGCAGGTGCACCCTGAAATACTTAAAAGAGCCTCCTTTTTCCTCCTCCTCACCTCCCTAAAACTTCACACTTACTCCTTCCATCTTTGATCATCTCATTAACCTCCTGGACGTCTGACAATACTCATGTTTCTACAGTTTCCCTCCTGACACCTTAGGGCAGTATCAGTATGAATATGGTGCCAAGCTGACCTTGAAATACCGTCAAGACTGCTTCTTCCTGCTCACTTGCTTCTACCCTAACATTTACATTCTCAGGCTTGTGAGATCATCACACTTGCCAGATGTTGACTCTGTACACTGACAACTATTTATTCAAAAACCTGCTCAAATATCTAGGACACTGATATAAATTTTATCTGCAATTATTGTTCACCTATTGGCACCTTTGTAGAAGGAAAGTGAGGAAGGAAGGAAGGAAGGAAGGAAGGAAGGAAGGAAGGAAGGAAAGAAGGAGAAAGGAAGAGAGAGAGGGAGGGAAGGAAGGGAGGGAGGGAGGGAAAGACTTATGGCCTCTTTTGAGAAGAACAGATTCTGAGGTGATATTAATTCATACCAAAACCTTCAGAACACATCTTTCAAGAGGAAGTCTGCACTGCATCAAGGTTTAAGTCAAGAATAATTTCAGTGTTTGTATAGACAATAGATAGACTTTGGAGAAATCCACATGGATTGGATCATAAGAGTTCATCATTTACCCTGCGTAGGACATAATGCCCCCTGTGTAGCACTCTGGTGGGAAATGTATAACCTGAATCTAATTATGAGGGACAATTTAAAAAACCCCAAACGAGGAAATTTGTATTTTTTCAAAACGGGAGGGCAAGTGATCTTCAACTTATCAATGCCATGCAAGACTTTTTTTTAAAGCAGAAACATTGGCCCAAAGGAAAGGAGATTAAGACACCAAGTAATTAGATAAAATATGTGATCTTAGACTGGATCATATACTAGAGGAATACAATTACATAAGGGACTTTATTGTGTCAAGTATTAATAGTGGATACATTTTTTACAATAGTAAAGGATTATAGCCGTGTTAAATTCACCAAGATTAAAAACTCTACTCTGGTTACATGAGGAAAACTGTGGTAGAATCTACGCTAAGGTAATTAATGGTAAAGAAATATACCTAAGGAACTTTGGGATCTGACAAAGGAGATTAATCATCTCCACTCTGTTAACCATCTTGAGATGGAATCATCTCCACTCTGTTAACCATACTGAGAAGTCCCTAGCCGCAACAAAAGTTCATATAGACATTCTGGTCTACAGACGCCACTAATCTCCACTGTAATGGCATCCATGACTAAGCACAAGAAACATGTTTGAAAGAGCCTCCAAATGATTTTAGCCTCTAGCCACTCCTGGTGTCCCCAGTGTGGCTCCAGACAGAGTCAAGAAGAGACAAGACATTCCTTTCGTGCCTTAGCCAAACTCCTCATCTGCAGATAATCTAAGCATACAAAAGTGATTGTTGTATAGGATCTTAGAATTTTGCAGAATAAGTGATCAAAGTGGATTTTGTTCCTTCTTCCTCACTTGGTTAGTGCAATATGAAGTGACCATTCCTCAATACAACTTTCTCCTTCCAAACACATTACTGTAACTAGCCTTGGTCACCGAGAAACAGTCACATGCAAACAGATGTTATCTGTGCAGGAAAGTGAACAGACAACATGGCTGCACCGGTTCACACCCTTACGGGCCTTACCTGGTACACAAGTCATATCTCAAACGGATTGACGAGGGCAGAATGACTTGATCCCAGCCACAGAGGATGCATACTAATGTGTGAACTCCTTCAACTGAGCTTGAGCACTTACCTTCTACGGCTCTCAATTTCCTTATCAGTTCAAAATGGGAATAACGATGTGAAAACAGTTTTTTTCCCCTCTCAATTGATTGTCATGAAGATCAAAGAGGTAAAGAGTGCTTTCTCAACTGAAAATCATATACATAATAAAGCATTTATTGTGTCTTCTTACAAAATCACCACTGACCTATAAATTCATTTTTACCCTATAATCAAACTAAAGATAAATGTAGCTATATTTTGAGAAAAGCACATTACCCAGTCTTTGCCCCTGTCGACTATCATCAGTGTGATCAGGACACAGAACCTTCGTAAGGGTGCCTTCTGATCTTGGCACATGCAGGAGGAAAAGAGGAAAGAACACAGGACTGTCAGTAAGAAACCTTGGCTCGTGCCTCGCCATGGCTATCACCTGCTGTCTGTCCCTGGACAAGGCTCCTTCCATCTCTCAGCCTCAGAGTCCTCATCCGCTTCCTCTTATGCCCGTAGCAGCCCAGCCCCCATCAATCCATATCCCCCTTTCTTGCTATCATTTTTCTCCACAGATCTTACATGATTTCACATTCTTATATAGTCTCCTTATTGTCTCTGTCGCCCTCATACAATGTAAGCTCCGTGTGGGAAAGCAGTCTTGTCTATTTTCTATCCGCAGGCCTAGAAAAGCCCATGAAAAGATGATGATGCACTGTACCTGTCAGAGAAACGAATAGATGAGGAATTAGGATATCAGATTAGATTATCTCGAATCTACTGGTCTTAACTGTTTGAATCTTTAACTTAGTCATGAGATAGTTTCACCATTTCATCTCATGGCCGCAAGTGAACTATAAAAACTACTTCCACCATCTTGCGAGCTTAACAAAAGCAACAAAGATTCAGGCTAGATGGAAAGACATTCTGATACATAGAAATAAATTCTAAGATAGTTCTGACACCAGAAATGGCTCCCAAGTTTTCCATTTGTATACAATTTATCTTCCAAAATATACTAAACTTGCTGGAAGACAGAGAACTCCTCTTTATCTGTTTACCCAAAGGCAGAGGGTAGGCAGTTTGAAAATAGGGCTCAGTGACCTCCGAAGGAACGGTATGAGGGGACCCTGGGACTCATTCCCTCTCCTTGAGGATCCTAGCATTTCAAAAGAAGAAAGAATATGCTCTGCACGGCAGGAGTTGATCCTGCCCAGAGGCAGAGAGATAGGTCAGATGGTATTTCATCTGCCCAAAGTGCCTTAAAATTAGATTGGAAGGTTTCAGTCTGTGCAGTGGTCATTAGGAGGATTCAGCTAAAGAAGAACAGACCAGAGGATATAAATGATCGTTAATTTTATTGCTAACTTTTACTATTTTTACACATAAGGGTAATTAACCATTATTTTTCACACACACACACACACACCACACAAAACCATTTTGCTTGCACATCAAAGCCACGATTGTTACCTGCAAACATAGGGGACAGTTAGTTGCTCTTTCCTGCTGAATGGGAGGAGAGAAATGAGCTAAGGGTGCAGCAGAATGAAGTTGAGACTATACCTCAGGGGGGCCTAACTGCCAGTAACAAACCAGGAAACGACATGGCCATGATGACTGAACAAGGTGCTGTATAAATTTCTGCTTTGGAACCATTGCAAAGTAAAACAAACAGGAATTCTCCATCAAATTCGAAGGCCTATGCGTTCAGAACAACTTTAAGGTGTTCTTAAGGTGACACACATGTGTCATCAGGGAGAAGAACTGGGAGTGGAAAGGCATGATTAATCCTAGAAGACCAACTTTCCAGGTCTTATCCAAGGAAGAAAAATATTTAAAACCCCTTGATATCCTGGTGTGGCTATTACCCCTTCTGAATGCCTGTAAAGGAGCCAAAATAGGACAGAGAGTTGAAATGATGGCGTGTCTCAATTTCAAAGGGGACAACGTCAAGGGGTCTTCTGTTAAGACATGAACTGTGTGTTTGCAGGTGTTGAAGAAGGAACACGGATGGAACAGGAAACAGGAAGATAAACTAGGTCCTGTTAGAACACAAGCTCAGGCCCCAGGGTGGGGCCCACATTCACACTTAACTAGAGGATATAAATGATTGTTAATTTTATTGCTAACTTTTACTATTTTTACACATAAGAGTAATTAACTATTATCTTTTACACACACACACACACACACACACACACACACCATTTTGCTTGCACATCAAAATAAATAAATAAATAAATAAATAAATAAATAAATAAATAAATATTTTTAAGCAAATGCGCCTGTCACGTTCCAGTCACTTTTCCACGTGCTGGTTAGTATTTTTATAATTGCTTAAAGTCTCCACAACATCAGACTAAGGAGAATGCTTTTTTTTTTAATGTTTGTTTACTTTTGAGAGAGACAGACGGAATGCAAGTGGGGAGGGGCAGAGAGAGAGGGAGACCCAGAATCTGAAGTTGGTTCCAGGTTCTGTTGTCAGCACAGGGCCTGACACGGGGCTTGAACCCACAAACTGAGAGATCATGACCTGAGCCAAAGTCAGACGTTTACCTGACTGAGCCACCCAGGTGCATGGAGAATGCTTTTAACTGGATATGCAGGGGAGAAATATCTCAATGTGTCTACAATATTAATGGAAATGATTGACTCGTGGGCCTGGGAAAGTTAGAATGACAGCTGTCTTCACATGACGCTAGAGCTTATAGCTCAAGTGGTGGGACCAAAGGACTTTATTCTTTCCATTTCTTGCCTCTGGCTCTTTGATGATTGGTTCTATTTTCAGTGAGTTTTGTCTTTTGTCCTCCTAGAAATGGCTTTCATTCAATCCTGGGCTCAAATCTTCCCCCAACTCGGATAACATGAAGTGTGGATCTCCTCCCTTATTTCAATACAAAAACTTTAACCTTCAGTCTGATTGGATCAACCTAAGTCACCTGCCTCTCACGAATCTCTCCATCCCTGAACAATCAACTGTGACCGAAGATTGGAGATTCGCTCACTGGTTTGCTTAGGTTTCAGCCACAGGTTCCATCCTAAAGACCTGGGTAGATTCAGCTTCCCCAGAAGCACAAGGAGCTACCTGAGAGACACATGGATAGTCACTTGTAAAGTAGGGTAGGCTCACTCAAGAAAAGAGAAATTCATCCTATACAGCTAAACTACCAACTCTTGGTGGAACACATTTCATGTATTTGACAGTGGGTTCCTAAGATTTGGGCAATAACACTCTCCTGACAAAACTGTCAGACAGCTCTCGTTGACTGCACATTTGCCAAACCGAGAAAAATGAAATTAGAAGTACTTGGTGACATGTAAGAACTGACAGGAAGGGTCAAGGCCTCCCATCTTCAACTAGCCATACCTGTGATGGTTCACAGAAGCAACCATCCAAAATGAACTTTCCTGTAGTTGTGTCCCGGGCTGTTTTTTCTTGCAGTTTGATTGAGACATAAAAAAATATAACACTGTGTAACTTCATGGGGTACAACATAAGGGCTTGATATAAATATCTAATGCAAAATGATTACCACAATATATCTGGTTAGCATGTATCACCTCAAATAGTTACAATTTTTTTTCTTGTAATGAGAACTTTGAAGATCTACTCGTTTGGCAACTTGCAGACCCACATACCGTATGGTGAACTGTAGTCACCATGTTGAACATCATTCCCCAGAACGTCTTTAGCTGGAAGTTTGTGCCTTTCTACCACCTTCACCCGTTTTGTCCTTGCCTCTGGCACCACCAATCTGTTCTCTGTATCTGTGAGGTCAATTTTCACCTTACGATTCCACTTACAAGTGAGGTCATACAGTATTTATCTTTCTCTTTGACTTATATCATCTAGAGTAATACTATCGAGGTCCACACGTGTTGTCACAAATAGCAGTATTTCCTTCTCTTTTATGGATGAATAATATACCAGTTGTGTATATATCCCATTTATTTATCCATTCATCCACCAATGGACACTTAAGTTGGTTCCATGTCTTGTCCACTCTGCATAAGGCTCCAATGAGCATGTGAGTACAAATATGAATTCAAGACAGTGGGTTTTTTTCCTTCCCAGAAGTGGATTTGCCAGATACTATGATACTTGTATTTTTAGTATTTGGAGAAGACTTCACACTATTTTACACAGCTGCTGCACCAACCTACATTACACCGACCCTGCACGAGGATTCTCTTTTTTTCAAAGAATTCAGTAAACACTTATGTCTTGTCTTTTGATAATCTTTATAATAGGTCTTCATATCTGCTCATCAGCCCTGAAAGTTTTCCAAGTTTCTTCTTCTTCCAAGATTTCTTTCGTTATACATATAAATTATAAATTAGTCAATTTCCACAAAAATATTTTATGGAATTTCTATAAGTTGTTTTGAAAGTATATACAATTTGAAAATAATTGGCTTTTTTAAATTATTGAGCCCTCAATCCATAAACATGATCTATTTATCGGCTATGACGTTTTTCTTTAAATTATGGCAACAGTCTTTTCTGTTTCTTAACAGAAAATTCTGCAAAAATGTGACCTTATTCCTAGCTATTTAATCCATTTGAACCTATAATAATTTCATTTAAAATTAATTTTTAAGGGCTACCGCGGGCTCAGTCAGTTAAGCATCTGGACTTCAGCACAGGTCGTGATCTCCCAGTTCCTGATTTTGAGCCCCGCATCAGGCTCTCTGCTGTCAACACAGAGCCTGCTTTGGATCCTCTGTCTCCCTCTCTCTCTGCCCCTCCCCACGTCATTTTCTCGCTCTCAAAAATAAATTAACATAAAAATAATTGGGGAGTGCTTGTGTGGCTCAGTCAGTTCAGCATCCGCCTTTGGCTCAGGTCATGATCTCGGGGTTTGTAAGTTCAAACCCCACATTGGGCTCGCTGCTGTCAGAGATGAGCTGGCTTCAGATCCTCTGTCCCTCTTTCTCTACTCATCGCTCACTTGCACCCTCTCAAAAATATATAAAACATTTTTAAATTTTTGTATCCTCTCTTTTTATAAAAAAAATAAAGAAAATAATTTTTTTTATTTCTTCATCTGGTAAAACCAAAAACAGAAGAAAAATGCTTTTGTATATTGACTTCATATGCAGTTATGTTGCTAAATTTTATTAGTAATCCCATTTAATAATCTTCCATCACCTATACATACAATAATGTACCTTACAAATGGTAGTAACATTATTTGCTCCCTTCCAAACCTTATGCACCTTTCCTGTTCCCTGCCTTATTGAACTGGCTTAGACCTTCAGTACAATGTTGAATAAGACTGGTGACAGTGGGCAACATTCACCATACTCAATCTCAGGTAAAAAGGGAAATGTTGTTCCAAAGCTAGCAAAACCCTTCATACATATATTCAAATGATCTTACATCTGAACACACTTAGGACTCTGAAATCAATCATATTACTTCTCTATTGCTGCATCACTAAATATCATGAATTTAGTGTGTCTTTAAACATTACACATTACATTCTCATAGAGTCCATGGGTCAGGAGTTTAGGCGCTAACACACCAGGTCCTCTCCACAGACTCTCACAAGGCCGCCAGCAAGGTTTCAGCCAAGCCTTGTTCCTTTCTGAAGCTCTGCATCTTATTCTAATGTCACATGGTCGTGGACAGAATTCATTTCCTGGCAGTTGTATGACTGACAGCCCAGCTTCTTATTGACCCTCAGCTGAGGCCACCCTCAAGTCTGAGAGGTCAACTGCAGCTCCAATGTCACGTTGTTCTCTCCATAAGCATTTTGTAACGTGAATGTTTATTTCTTCAAAGCCAGCAGGAAATTCTGTCTTTCCGATATGTGAACAAAGCCTAATCAAGAGAGTGACATCGTATGGCCTTTGTCATGCTCTGTTAGACTCAAGTCACACATGCCACCCACTCAAAGGGAAGGGATTACACAAGGGTAGGCGTGGATCAGTGGGGTTCAGTCTATAAGTGGGCACCACACAATGAGGTCTCCTAAAGGTGAACTATGTTTTCACTTTCATGCCACCTTGGAGGTTTTCAGGGAAGGCTTGGAGAGCTACCCCTCAAAATCCTAGAGGAAGAATTACATCATCAAAAGACATGAGTCTAAGAGACCTTTTTCCTGTTTGTCAGTGAATAGGCCTGAATCCCATCGAGGCAGGTTCCCAATTAGATAGAGAAGGCATGACCAGACAGTTTCACTTCAGTGGGTCAAGGAGGATGTCACTGTATGACCCCACACCCTGGTACTGAGCAGGCATTCAGCTGAGAGACTGAATGGTAGGTGTGGACAGAAAGAATGATCCAGAGAAGGGATCAACAGAATCCGAAAACAAGGCTGAAATGGTCCAAATTGAGGATCAAGTTCTGAGAGAGAGCAGAAACTTGACCGTCACCTGCCATGAAAGGAGAACGTGAGTAGTTCAAGAAAGGCACAGTGCAGTTGTCAGTTCACTGGAGGGGCTGATGGGCAGGCAACCGACAAATTGACGGACCAAATCCACAAAGGTTTGGCCACAGCTATTTAAAAATGACTAACCCGGGGCGCCTGGGTGGCGCAGTCGGTTAAGCGTCCGACTTCAGCCAGGTCACGATCTCGCGGTCTGTGAGTTCGAGCCCCGCGTCGGGCTCTGGGCTGATGGCTCAGAGCCTGGAGCCTGCTTCCGATTCTGTGTCTCCCTCTCCCTCTGCCCCTCCCCCGTTCATGCTCTGTCTCTCTCTGTCCCAAAAATAAATAAAACGTTGAAAAAAAAATTAAAAAAATAATAAAAAATAATAAAAATGACTAACCCAAAGCTGGAACAGAATAACTTTCTTGTGAGTAGGTCCGTTTCCCCAGCTATGCAGACAATAAGTGGGAAGCAAACAGAGCCTGAAATAGGAAATAAAAGTACTGGGGGAAAACCTCACCGCCCAGAGGACACTTGGCTAAGAGTTGTATGCATGCAACACTTGCTTCTGAGTTTCCTCATATGATAGTGTTCCCTTGCTATGGTGACAAATTACCACAAAATCACCATATTAAAACAATACGCATCTCACAATTTCTGTGCATCAGAATTCAAGGCACTACTTAGCCCAACTGGATTCTCTGCTTAGTGCCTTACAAGGCAAACACCAAGACAGGAGGAATTCTGCTCTTTTCTGGAGATCCTGGGGAAGAACCTGCCTCCAAGGTCATGTGGGTTGTTGAAGAATTTACTTCCTGCTCAAATGGTCTCCTTCCTGTCAAATCTACAAAGGCACTTTGAACCATTTCTGTGACTCAAATATTTCTGCCTTCCACCTCTGTCTTCCTCTTTTGTTCTTTGGGGCTCATGTGATTACATTGAGCTCAGCGGGATAATCCAGGGTAATCTCCCTATTTCAAGATCAAGTATAATAACCTTCATTATTGTAAAGACGCTTTTGTCATACAACACAACATATTCTTCAGTGTGTTATCTCCTCATAACTGACCCTCTTGGGGATTGGGCCTGAAGCCACCGTGGAGGCCATTCTTCTGCCTACATCAACTTCTACCTAAATGTACATAATACACATACAGTTCTGTGAAGATTTGCTCCCTTCATTAATGTTCCAGTTGCTCAAGTACAAACCTTCAAAATGATGCCTGACTCCTCTGTTCTTTCACAAGCCATACCCAACTTGTCAGCAATCCTTAAGCTCCACTTTCAAAATATATCCAGAAACAGACAGCTTCTCATCACCTGCATTGTTCTCCCGGAACAGGGTCAGCATCATGAGTGGCCTGAAATAGCTTTCTAAACTTTGTCTTTGCACATACACTGTCTCCCCAAGTTCCTTCCTCAAGAAGTTAGCCATAATTAGATGAAAAAGAACGAAATACTGCCATTTGCAGCAACGTGGATGGAACTGGAGTGTATTATGCTAAGTGAAATAAGTCAGTCAGAGAAAGACAGATATCATATGATTTTACTCATATGTAGAATTTGAGAAACTTAACAGATGACCATATGGGAAGGGAAGGAAAAATAAGATACAGAGAGGGAGGCAAACCGTAAGAGACTCTTAAGTACAGAGAACAAACTGAGGGTTGATTGGGGTGGGGGTTTGGGAGAGTGGAGAAAATGGGAGATGAACATTTGAGAAGGGCACTTGTTGGGATGAGCACTGGGTGTTGTATGCAGGTGATGAATCACGAGAATCTATTCCTGAAGCCAACTGTGTGTTACTGTAACATACGTAACCCTGTATGTTAGCCAACTGCATGTACTGTAACATACATAATGACACTGTATGTTAGCAAACATGACAATTAAAGAAAAAATAATAAAGGGTGGAGGAATGCCAATAAATAAATAA